TTTTTTTTTTTCCCCCAGAAGATCTGCCCCAGCAAAACCTTTAATCTCTCCCTGTCCTTAAATCTGGGATTTCCAGATGATTGGCTTTTAATATCGCTATTTTTGTTGCACGCCATTTTTAGCAAGGAGCAAATCCGATTTTTTCCCCCTCAGTGTTCAAAACCCATTTTCTCCCCAAATTATTATTACAGGGGGAGTGAAGAGGGGCACCCTTGGCCCCATCACTGCAGACTGAAGGTTGAGGGAGGGAAGCCACCTCCATTTTATTCCTTCCCAGTCCAGGGAGATGCAGTGATGGAGAGTGAGCTCTCCCCCCGAGCCTGATCCAGACCAGCCCCTGGCCCGTGTGAAGTAACGTGCGGGTGGCAGCCGAAAGTGGGGGCCGGGGGCTGGAGGAGCTGCAGGGTGGGCGGCGCAGCCTGCCCGGAGCCGGCAGCAGCGGCGGGCGACGGGTCTGGGCTCCATCAGCCGCGGCCAGCCGGGCAAGATGCGGTAGCTGGACCGCAAGGTGAAAATTGACGTGAGCGCGGCGCCCTGGCAGCGCCTTGGGTTGATGAAAGGATATTGTTAACAAGCCTTTAACGTTTCTCATTAATGGCTGGGTTGGTTGGGTGGGTTTTTTTTTTTCACTGAAAAAAGCCAGAAGACAAAAATTCCACCTGGGCAGTAACTAAGATCGATCCTGTACAGTACATTTAGTTATCAATTTTTAAAACCTCTTTAAGTGCCTTATTTAGTTATTTTAAACAGGGCTTTTTATCTGTTGCAGTGAGTAGTCCTTGAGCATGGCAGAGGGCTGCAAGGAGCATGGGAACTCCTCCTAGGCTCTTCTCCTTAACCAATCTTCGTCTAACCTGTAGAAAAGCAGGCGCTGGTCCATCACCTCCGCCCCGGCCATGGGTGCTGTGAGGTGCCAGGGCAGCACACAGAGCCCGTCGATCTGGACCCATGCTGGCATTACCTAGGGTATATTATTTGATGTGGCATTGCTCTTCTTTTGCTGAAATTATTGCTGCAAATTGCATGTAGGTACCATGGAGTTCAAAAGCGGAGCTCTTGCTTGCTAAGTTGGCATGGGCTCAAAAAGCAAGGAAGCTGAGGGTTGAGCCCGGAGCAGGGGGCTCTGCCCAGCCCGTCCCCAGGCAGCCCTCAAGGATGGGGGTGAACCCAAATTGGGCACCAACCAGGGTTAGATGGGCTGAAAGAGGCAGTGTTTAATTAAAATAACCCTTAGTGTGACCCCAAGTGCAGAACTGATGGTAGTTACTGAGAAAAACAGCTGCAACCCTTTTATCTAAGGAAGAGCAACCTTGTGATGATGTAATTTTCACTTTCCAATGAATGCCGAGATGACCTAATTCCATACAGTAAACTTGTGTCTCAGTTCAAAGTAAACCATTTGAGTCATTCTGTAATTTGGATCCGAGCTCGCCTGCGCAGCGTGGCTCGGCTGAGCCCTTGGCAGCACCCTCTTAAAGCCATGGCCACAGCACGATGGCAGGACACCAGGAGTGGGAATCCCGAGTGTTTTTTGATCCAGACTTCACCTAAATCTTTAAAACTCTGGCAAGCAGAAGGAAAAACCATTGTATTTTCATCAGTATATACTGTGATGTTTTGAAAAAATTATTGCTTCTATTTATTGACTTTGCTATCATGGCTGAGCTTTCCTAGGAAGTTCAGCGTTGATTATGGCCCAGAATTTTTAAAAGTGCAAGCCTCGAACATGTTCCTTATTTCTGCTTTTATTCAGCAAACACATTTTGTATGCTTTTGAAAACACCATCAGCATGATGCCTAAAT